TATAAGTAAGTCAAAATCTTGAAATGACAGGAAAAGCAGAACTGAACTAGGAAAACAAAAATTGCAAAAGTTGGAGAATTAGCTCTTGATAGTTTAGATAATTGGGCGAAGGCTTAATGAAGAAAAACTACTTAATTTCAGTAAACAGGTTGGTGGTGTTTTGGCTTACCCACCTCCCGTGCCACACTCCCTGGCTCTGCGGCAGCCATGAGGACAGGGGCCCACATTCCTGCTGCAGCGTGCTCATGCCAGCAAGACTGATTGTTCTCAGAGAACCGTGGTTGTGTGTTCTGACCTCTTTGGGGGCTCCATGAGGAGCAGACTCAGGGGCTTCCCTTTGTGTCGACTGCCTCAGAACTTTTAGGAGCTCCTGGGTGGCACTGTCAAGAGCATTTCAATGAAGTATACTAGCAGCACCTGTCTGGGAAGGGATCAGACAGAGGGGACAGAGGGAGGCAGACTGAAAAGCCTGGGAAGGAAGATGCTGGTACATAATCGAGGGACGAAGGGCACTGAAAATCTGCTGTGCGCTGGGCAGTCTAAAGGCCATGCTAATGCCCACGGCTAACAACTGAGAGCACCATGTGAGTTGGCCTTCAGCACTGGCGCAAGGGCCAGTGAGCACCAGCACAGGAGGTGGTCTGCAATGACTGGCAGAGCACCTCGTCGTGGTCTGGCTCCAGGCATTGCAGAAGCTCTCTCTCAAATCACAAGGGGCCCACTAAGCTAACAGAGCAGACTTCAGGCCACACTCAACAAAGAGCTGTTACAAACAGTTGAGAAAAATCATTAAACAAGTACAACCCTCATAACGTAGCAACAACAAACGCAGGGAAGGCAGGAGAATCTGATTTCCAGAGACACATTATATTTAAAATATCCAGTACTCAACAAAAAATTGAGCCATATAAAGAAACAAGAATGTACACCCCACTCTCGGGAAAACTGAACAGACATAGTCTCTGAGGAAGCACCAATGTTGGACTTACTAGACAGAGGCTTTAAAACCAACAGTTCAGTGATGCTCAAAGAACTGAAGGAAACAACTGTTTCACCAAATGGAGAGTTTCAGTAAAGAGATAGAAATTATAAAATGGAATCAAATAGAAATTCCGGAGCTGAAAAGTACAACTGAAATGAAAAAAGGTTGCAGCATTGGATTTGAGCAGGCAAAAGAAATAACTGGTGAATATGAAGAAAAATTTATTGAAATTATCAAGTAGTTTATAAAAGAGCCAAAGATGGTCCCCGTATTTTTACTTCATTGCAGGAGACCAGGCCCATGAGCTTAAAAACTCACCAGTGCCAAATTCACATTTTTACACTGAATTGTTATAAACGGCTAGAATTAGATTTTTAACCATTCAGAGCCTGTGTGCCATGCATACGGTGACACTGTACCCACTGTCCGCTAGCCATAAAGGTAAATTATGGACTGTACCAGTCTCTGAGCTGCTGCTAGCCACTCCCCCCTCCCCCTGTAGTTGTGACCCAGAGACTCCCCATCTGTGACTGACACTTCCATCTGGACGGTGAAGACCCCTCTCCCCCAGGAGCTCCCTTTCTATCCTCCCCTTCTGGGTGGTGGCCCCACACTGTTGCCTCTGGAAGAAGTCGACTTGTGTGGGACTTCCCTTTACAGCAAGTTGTCAGTGTGTCACCCAAAGCTAGTTGTGCGGTTCTGTCACCTTATGTAGTTCTGTAATTTTCCTTTATCTGCCACGAAGTCCCTTGATCTCAGTACAGCTGCCCAATGCACTTACAGCCCTAGGTCAGTGGAGATAAAGCCCACTGGGACATGGCCTCCTCTGAGAAGGGGGTGTGTGCATCAATCTTAGGGGTCCCAAAACTAGCACAGGCCCTACCCCCAGCAGGCTCCAGGACCAGCCCCTCCCTTCCTGGAGACACACTGGAGCAGAGGATGTGTGATTCCGGGCTGAGCCACCAGATAGGTCTCAAATTTAGTTGAGGCCTGGAAATACACCTAAAACCAACTACAGCATGGAAGTAAATTACATATTGTTGTAAGCAGGTCAAATATAATACATCCTGATTATATTTTTAAGAATGATTATGAAATATTTCAATATAAATATAAGGCAGAGTGGTATATTCACATTGCAAATTAATTTGTAAAATATTATTTGCAAACACCAAATACCTATTATGTGTAATAACTTGGGGTGTATGCAGTACCAACTCATTAGTCTTCAGTCTTCACACCTTTTTTTTTTAAGTCTTCACATCAACTCTTAAGATGAAGGCACTAAGCATACTTCCACTTTAGAATTGAGGAAAATGAGTCACAGAAAGGTTCAGTAATGAAATCTCATTGGCTGTAATAGTGGAAATTAGAACCCATGTTTGTCCCCAGGGTCTGAACTTCTAATCACTCATTTGCTCCCTTCAACCCTTGGTCACACCTCCCTGCGTCCCCGCCTGATCACAGACCCTGCCTCTCCAGCCAGGGTGCCAAGATGCTGGATATTGATTGCTCATTGTCCTCACATGTGACTTGACTCACCCTGGCTACACAGAATCACTAGTGGATATTTTTAAAAATGATGTATCAGTTCCACCCAGAGATGTGATCATTTAATCGGTCTCAGGCTATGATTCTGGGATTGTGTCAGCTTGGAAAGAGAACAAATCAGCTGGGTTGTCTCTAGAGAACATCTCCCCTTGAGGTTTGGGTCCAGTATTGGGGTTTGTTGAAGGGCAATCCATTTCCAAGCCCTGGGACCAAAGCCAGGGAGACTGCCTTTGTGAGAAGTTTCATTTTGTTTGGAGAATACATTAATTTTAAGGGCTTATGTGTTGTCTGATAGGTTAGGGGATTTTATTGTTTTAGAGTTTTCTTTGCAGGACTGCTGTGGGGGTGCATAGCAGTGGCTCTGGTTGGGGAACGGAAGGCACATAATTCAGGACTCGAGTAAGATGTAAGATGTGGTCATCGGATGAGCTCCTGCCCCACGGAAGCTTCATGGAAAAACTCCAAGGAATGTTCTTGGTCTGGATACTGTGCTTATGGTCCTCCTAGGCCAGGCTCATAGCACAATGAGTAACCTATCAACTGGGGTGAAGGTCCCTGTTATGCCACCAGCTGATGGTGGGAAGTTGGAGCGAGTGGAGCTGATCTGTGTGGAAGTAGCTGTTGGAGAAAGGGGAGTCTTGTTGAGTCTCTAACCCACATACTAAGGAGTGCAGGCTCAAACCCATGTGTTTACGACTGCATAGAGAAAACTAGAACCTCAACAACATGAGATTTTTCAGCAACAGGGTTTATTGTTTAAATATTTACAGGAAATAATGTATTGAAAAAGTATCTCTTACAAAATTATTCAATATGCATGGATCACTTTTTTTGCATTTATATGCCACATTTTCCCCATGAGTAGTTATTTTTCTCAAAATCCTGAATTATTGGCTACACTGTGTTAAAGGCTCTAATTTTAGAGGTTTTACCCTAGACTTAGTTTCCTGATACAAAATCTGCCTGAAGTTCTCTCCACTGTGATTTCACGACTGCCATCTCATGTAAGAACTTTACTGCTGGCTGAGAAATACGTGATCACCGACACTGAGTGATGTGTACAGTCCGAATCCTCACATGTGCCCTAAATGCTTCTCTATGAACAAAGGGCTTCTCATGATTTTTCACTGCAATATGAATTGTTATTCCTCAAGAGCATTGATCCTCTTACATCTTGTGTTAGTGTTCTTTTAGACTTCACTGAGTCTTCTTGTGTGCACCATGTGCATACTGTTCACAGTGATTACAGACCTAGGGGCTTTCCCCTGTGCAGGCCCGATAATGTGTTTAAAGTTGAGAGCTGTTGCTGAAGCCTCTCCATTCCTTATGTTCACAGAGTGAGTTCTCTCATGTCTGCTATGGTTTTGCTGCGTAGATGTCACATGTAGGGACTTCTTCCATGTAAGTTTGTGGACGTCAAATGAGTAAGAATGACTAAAGGATCTTCTACATTGATTACAGTTTCTTCAGTGTTCAAGTCCTCTGGTGTGTTTAAATGTTAAAGCTATGGTTGAAGTCTCGCCCACATTCGTTACATTTTTAATATCCTGTTATCTAAGGTCAGAATATTTACTGAAGGCATTCATAATTTTCTCTCCATTGTGCGTTCCCTCGTGTCGTCTAAGAGCAGAACACTGACTGAAGGATTTCCCACAAAGATGACATTCGTATGGTTTTTCTCCAGTGTGAGTTCTCTCGTGTCGTCGAAGGGCAGAGCATTTACTGAAGGCTTTCCCACATAGATGACATTCATATGGCTGCTCTCCAGTGTGCGTTCTCTCGTGCTGTCTGAGGTTGGAGGACTGACTGAAGGCTTTCCCACATAAATGACATTCATATGGTTTCTCTCCAGTGTGAGTTAGATTGTGTTTTCTAAGGTCAGAGCTTTGAATAAAGGCATTCCCACAGATATGGCATTCATATGGTTTCTCTCCAGTGTGAGTCATCTCGTGTCTCCTAAGGCTCGAGCAATTACTAAAGGCTTTTCCACACAGATGGCACTCACATGATTTACCTCTAGTGTGAATTTGCTTATGTTGATTAAGGTACGACTGGTCACTAAGGGATTTTGGACACTGTTGACTGATATAAGGTGTCTTTTCTGTGTGAGTTAACAAATGCTGAGTCAACATGAAGGTATGAGTGAAATCTTCTTCCAAACCATTATATTCAAAGGGATCCTCTGGAGTATGAGATTTCTGCTTTTGGGAGAGAGATGAAAGGTTGTTAAAGCTTGGCCTACCTATCCATACATTCATTCTGCTACACAGGAATCCTAAACTAATCATTCAGTGATAGTCTCCAGTTAAAATCTTGCTAGTATTACTTGCATACAGATGATGTGTTTGTTACTCCCCTGCATAAAGATTTTCTCTTTTGTAGCATCCCAACTACAGAGCTTATAGATTACTTATAGATTAATTTAGAAGACTTCAATATGTTTCAAAGACTAGGCATACAATCAGTGTTTATGCAGTTGTCTTTTTTTTTTTTTTTTTTTTAAGATCTCAGGTTATGGTTTTGGGGCTGAGATTAATTTCTTCACTAAATTCAAACTATCCAAAACTTGATGCTCAAAGCTTAATCCCAACTTAATATGAATTAAGCTATTGTGCTCAATTACTAACACCCTATTTCTAGGTCTTTCGTTTGGATGACCAGGGTTACTACCCATGAAACTTACCACTGGCATGACTGTAGATGTGTCCTTCCTGCTGATATGTTGTGTGGCTATCAATTCTTGTTCTTTAAGGGCACTTTCCCTGCCTAAAATAACTGAAAACAAAACAAGACCAAATATTTAGAATGGCAGCAGGGGAATGAAAATGTTGAAAAGCACCAAGGCCCATGTGAGTATGTTTCAAAAACTGGCACTTCGATGGAGCAAATATGTCAAATGAAGGAATACTCTAGGAATACTAATTCACAAAGATTTTCAGGACTGAATTATGAAAAAATTATAATGAAGGTAATAGGGAAAGAGAAGGGAAACCTTCAAAGGGCAATATTAGGGCAGGAGTTACTGCCCTAATATTTGTTAAGTACATGAATATGCTTCCCCTAAAGCCAAAAAAGACACTGGCAAGAGGAAACATAAATTGTGATTGACACATGGAAGGAATAATGACAACATCTGAAGAATTTTGCTTCAATGTCCTTCCTCTACATTTTAGAAAATATAACTCACTTGACAAAATCTTCAGTTGGTATTTCCAAGAACATACTACTGAGTAGGCACCTCCTCATACTGAAGCACAGGTCCCTGCTGCTCACCTGGACTCTGGCCTTGGAGAAATCCAGTTCCTTCTCTCCACAGCTCTTCTCCTTGCTCCAACGGGAAAATCACATCTGATTTGCAATGCTGATATCCTGTTCATTGAAAAAAGGTACATGGATTTTGAATTCTGCACTAATAAAAGTCCTCTCCTTCTCAAAAGCTAATTATCATCATCAAGTCCAGGACAGGCTACTGAGGAAGAATAAGGAGAACACTGAAGTCCAGTCCAAGCAACAACTTGAATGGAAAAAACACTGAAATCCAAATGTGTGTCCAAAATAGTGAAGACCTCTGGATGCTGATCCATGCCCAAATTCAAAGACAGAATGCAGAATCTTCAGTCTTTTCAGAAATGGAGAAATTAAATGTCTCCACAGTGGGCTGAATATTACTTTCAAAAGACACCAAATGAACTTGGCAAGAATAATCAAAAATAGTTCTATTTTTGTCACCAGTCTAGCTTCACCCTTGACGTAGTGACTACAGCAGAATAACTATTTAGAAAATGTTTAATCAGTTTGTTTATGCATTCAGAAATATTGACTTCCCCAGTTCTGCTCTGGGAGTTAGAGACTGACTAGCAACAAAGACATTAAATGGTGATCAAAATTATATTCTAGGGGGGTGACAAACTAGATGTAGTAAAATATAAAGAAACTACTTTCAAGTAAGGTCTATGAAAGATTCAGGGTAGAGAGTGGAGTGGGTATGCAGGTACGCAGAAGCTGTTCCAGATACTTGTTGATTGACTAACCTCCTACCCACCCATCTATGTATGTATATGCGTTGGCAGACTCACCCAGGGAGAGCAGATGACGTATATTTTCCAGCATGACATCCCTGAACAGTTTTCGCTGGGATATGTCCAGCAGGGCCCACTCTTCCTTGGTGAAGTCTACAACTACATCTTCAAATGTCACTGACTCCTAAAACATCATGGATATTCTGTTTTAGACAGAGCATTCCCTACTGACATCCAGAGTGGGAGTTGAGATGACAGCACTGAGGAAGAGGATGGAGGAGCTGGGTGTGTAGAAAGATCAAACTGAGTCTGGGGTTCCTGTCAGTTCATTCTCGGTGCTGAACTGCCATCTGCCTTTCAGATACGTTACAGAGATACAGTCTGAATTAATAAAACTTTATTATAAGGGAATATCACATGAAGTGTGATATAACCTGGGTTTTTTTTTTTTTTTCTTAACTGATAATTATGGGGGCGCCTGGCTGGATCAGTCAGTAGAGTTTGCAACTCTTGATCTCTGAGTCATCAGTTCAGGTCCCATGTTGGGTGTGGAGCCTATTTACAAAAATAAATACATAAAGTCTAAACCAAAAACTGGTAATTATAATTTCACACATAGGATTATAAAACTGAAAAACAAACTGAGGGTTCTAGAGGGGAGGGGGGTGGGGGGATGGGTTAGCCTGGTGATGGGTACTAAAGAGGGCACGTTCTGCATGGAGCACTGGGTGTTACGCACAAACAATGAATCATGGAACACTACATCAAAACCTAATGATGTAATGTATGGTGATTAACGTAACAAAATTTAAAGAGGAAAAAAACTGGCACCTGAAAATTCATAACTACACCTCACTTTCTGATTAACTTCAAGTAACTTTACAGACTCGTTGTAAGGCAAACACTAACCATGACTTGCCACTTTTAAACCATGACGCTCTTCCCGTAAGATGAACCTTTAATAACCTATTAGGAGACTGAAAGACCCAATGAACTAATGCATGAAGTTCTTCCTAAGTAAACACGTATTAAATACAAGCCATCCATCTATTACTCATTAAAATATTCAAGAACCTTGAAACCGTCTCTAACATTCTTCAGAAAGGAACACGTTTCATACAGAACTCAGTATACACAGTGTAGTCTTGTCAACTCTGCAGGCTCAGGTGTTCATAATAAGCTGTGAGGTCCGAAGAGAAGACTCAGCCCGGAACCTCTGAGACAGCTCTACTGAAGGGTCCTAGCCTGACCGCTCCCGTGTTACGAGGACTCCTCATTTTCTCTGGGCCTTAGACACCAGTTATCACCTGTCTTGTCCCCCTACTAAAGGAGAACAGAAGCCTCTTGACTCGTTTTGCTTTATGTAGTTCTTAAAAAGTTTCTGCAGGATCTTAAATTTTACTCTACTATATACCCTTCTCCTGAATATACAGCCACAATTATGGACTTAATACTCCCTATACACTAATTACAGAAAGGTAAAATATGTGACTGGGGGCAAGAATGATAAGAAGTTTCCAAAAGTGCAAATATATCCTCTCAAAATTTTAAAACTGGGAAAATATGAGTGATCCCTCATGCCTTTTGTGGCCTCACCTTCTCGTGCACTCCCTTCAACACTCCACAGCCCTCACCCAGCACCTGAAACACTGGGCTCCTGGGAAGGCCTCCCTGTCGGACCCCAGTATTCTTCTCCTTGCTCACCTCTTCACCACAACCCTTTATGAAAGGATCCTTAGAGCCAATACCATGATTAATGAGTGAATTATTTCCCAATGAGGATATGGACAGAGTTAGAGAAAACAAACTTCTTTCTTCTATGGAGGCTGGGATAAACTAGTGTGATATTAGGAAGGTTACTAGTTACTGAGGAGTTTCTGACTCATCATAACCATCCCAGAGTTCTGGGGAAATCTCACCGGAGCCCAGATCCCTGAGGACTTCCTGACTGCACTTGAACATTCAGGCCAAAAGGAAAAACTCGCCCATCTGATGGCACGAGGCTGTTATTTCAGCAAAGAGGCTTCCCTACTCACCAGTGGCTGCATTGTCAATAACTCAGTTGCCAGGTTCCTTTCTCTGGGTTTTCACTCACAGACAGCCCAAGCACTAAGCAGGCAAAGCTGAGGATGGAGAAAGAAGCCATGAGACTCCCGTCCTGTGCACAATTTCCAGTCTCACCTGTCACGAAGCCCCAAACCTTACCTGGGTGTGACCCCCAGCCTAACCAACAAACATGCAGTGCAGTCTACAAGAAAAGCAGAGGACTCGCTTCATCTCCCATGGTCAAAAGAAGACTAGGACTACAGTTGCTAATAAAAAACATACAGAGATTTCATGAATAACAACATTGAAAGTATTGAGTTGTATAGGTTAATCAGCCCACAGCATCCAGAGTTATTTAATTCCCTCCCTGATTCCAAAGCCTAGAGATCCTGGATTCAGGCCTCACATCGATTTTTGTTTCCATCTGTAGGTAAACACTGGAATTGCTCAGATTTCGTTATTCTCATACTCAAGCAGGGGTTCCCCAGCATCCATGGCGGCCTTCTGGAGCCACACTCTCTTCCTGCTCTCCCTCAACTCTAACTTTTAGATCTGTTGCCCATGGATTTGGATCGCCAAAAAACTAAACAGTCTATTTTATGACAGGGTTCATCAATTCAAGGACTTATTCCATTTGGAGGGATCAGTGGCACTCATTCTGCAAGTCTGTTCCTGAAAAATCCCCTGCATCAGAAAGGAGGAATTTATGAGCCATACTGTTCCTGTCATTTACTGTCCCAATCCTCTCTTCCAAGGACGTCCAGATAATACAGAATGGCTGTGGTTTGGGAGGAAATCTAGTTGCTCTACCTGATTATTTTAGTAAAGTGGTAAAACTGAAGTCCTTGAAATCCTGTTCTATGTTAATCTTCATGAGCTGCACTATGCCTGCATTATTACACACACACACACGTATATATATGTATATGGACATTTACATACATACACACAAATGTGTGTGAGACACACACAGTGAGAAAGCATGTATAAACTGTAAATTCTCCCTTAAAATACCAATAATTAAATGTATTTCATGGGAAAATGATGATAATGTGTCATAAACAAGAGTAGGATTAACTCACCCATTTGTACCTGAGGTCAAGAAAAAGGAAAAAAAAAAAATTTGTATCAAATGTGACTCTACTTCGATATTTACATGTATTCGTTTATTTCATCCTCACAAGAAACCTGGTGATTTTCTTTACCAGTTTAACAAGTGAAATGAACAGAGAGGTTCAAAAAACTTAAATAATGTAACAAAGTTACACAGCTAGGAAATAACCTGTCTGTATTTTAATTTTGCTCTGCCTCTCTCCTGTGCTCAAGCTCCGTAAGGATTACCCACCACACCTAGGTTTTACCTGGAATATCACATCACTTCTGACTTAATCAGAAGCCCTACTGTTATTACAACTTCTCCTTACTTCTTCACAGAAATTACACCCCATATCCAGTTCTCCGTACATGGGAACCTCCGTGTACTGACCACTTCTCAAACATCTGGCTTTCTCCCTTTTCATTTTTCCTACCCACTTTAATCCACACTGACTCATTTCAACAGGCACTTATCAGGACCAGCGCTTTCTATGTTCCCTGGACTATTAACCACATTTCCCCATCAAGACCTCAACAGCAGGTGACTCCATGTACCTGCCTTTCCTGTGACTGCATCTGACACACATGGCTAATAAGTTGAACCTGGTCTAAAAACAGAACTACTACTCCTAGGGGTTTTCGAATGTGTCTGGCAACTCTGAATCATTCTTCCATGCTCCCATAAATATTTCAAATCTTACCATGCCTTTTGATGCTACACATTCTCACCTTTCAAGAGGTAAGATTATTCCCCACTATACATACTGTGTTAGTTTGCCAAGGTTGCTGTAACAGAGTACCACTCACTGAGGGGCTTAAACAACAGAAATGTATTTTCTCACAATTCTGGCCGCTGGATATGAAAGATGTTGCTACGGTTGGTTTCTTCTAAGGCCTCCCCGCTTAGCTTGTAGACGGCCATTCTCCCTGTCTCCACAAGGCCATCCCTCTGCACGTGTCTGGGCCCTGATTCTCTCTTCTCACAAAGACACCACTCAAACGGGATTAGGGCCCACCTCAATTGCCAGTTTTAAGGCCCAATCTCCAAATACACTCTGAGGGTTGGGACTTCACCATTTGACTTTTGGGAACACAAAATTCAGTCTATAACAGAGATGAATTACATAAGGTGACACACTAACTCAGTTTCTCATCATAATCTCTACAAATATTCCCACATTCGCATCCATTGGCTATTCCTTTTCTCCCATCAAATAAAAGTTGTGCTACCTCTAAGTCCAAAGTCTCCCAACTGAATTCCTTTCTCTCCTGTTTTTTTGAGAACTATATTATTGTTTATAAATTAAATCTCCTTTCCCAAAAACCTGTCCATCTCTCCACAATCAATTCCCCCATCATTTAAGTTCATTATATCTCTTGTAACTTGAAGCAAAAATTTCCTCTGAACCTATTTTCTCTCCAGTTCCTGCCCTTCTAACCTCCCCTCAAAATCAAACTGGAAATGCAGTTGTCCTTTGCTCACATCCTCCTCTCCCTTTGACTTAAAAAGGCCACCACTGATTAGTATATAAATATACATTGTTAACATCACTGATTGTCTCTCCATAAATAAATTCTTACATGGAAACAAAGAGGAGTTAAACCTTGACCTCCTTTGCAGAGCTTCTTCCCCTCTATACTCAGTCCTTCTCCCATGTCCTCTGTAAAGAATTCCTCAATCCTCTTGGAATGTCTCAAGACAATGTGAGAGCCTGTCTCCTTTTATACCATGTCCTGGCAGGCTCACGCATTTCTTCAGTTGTTCCAGTTTTTTCTATTGCTGTCTCTAAATTGAAAGTGACCAATTTCTTTTCTGGATTCCCATTTCTGAGTGATCATCTCTGCTTGCAAACTTACACCTAAAATGAAGTATTTCTTGAGACAATAACTCCATCCCTCCAAATACAGAAATTACTCCTTTGTCTGAATCTTAGTTAATGGCTGGCTACATCTGAGTATTGACATTTTATTTTATTTATTTATTTTAAAATTTTATTTATTTGACGAGAGAGAGAGCAAGAGCAGGAACACAAGCAGGGGCAGAGGGAAAGGGAGAAGCAGGAAGCCCAACGCAGAACTCGATCCCAGGACCCTGGGACCATGACCCAAGCTGAAGGCAGACGCTTAACGACTGAGCCACCCAGGCGCCCTGGGTATTGACATTTTAAATACCTTTACCAAATGAACAAACACACTGCTATTATTTCTAACCTGGACACTATTATAATTCTTCATTTCCACCCCCATCCACAAACTTCCCACCCCATACTCCTTCTACTCCAGTTTCAGTTTAAATCCCCATTACACAGAGATACTTTCATTAAACTACAACCAAAGTGTTTCCCTTGCCCTCTGCCTTGACATTTTCAAATAGAACCACTATTCTTTTATGTCACTCATGGAATTTGTTTTATATTTATTTATGCTGTCCTCTCAAAGTTCTAAATGCACAAAAATCTACCTATATATGGTGGAGTTAGGCAAGTTTCCCTGTGACCATTACATCTGAGTGATAACAGAGAGAAATTCTATGTCCATGGTAAGGAAACCTGCCCCCAAGTGCCTGCAGTCAGATAAACCATCACTTTCTGATTATAACTTCCTCCCTGAAATATAGGAGTCTTCTTTCCTGGTAAAAATTCTATCCAGTACTTACCCAAACCCAAATAGATGGAAAGGCTAATGAAGCCAACTCTTTGAGGATGCAACCACCACACAAAGGACCTCAGAGTTTCTTTCTCACTCTAGATCAATCACCCTTTTGTGAAGGTGATTTATCTTTTTAAGCAGTTGATAACCTCATCAGTGGCATAAATCAAAAGACACACCCTGGTCTATCTGGATGCCAGTCAATATAAACCTAACTGAGGCAGGACTTTCTAACAAAATCTTTTCTAATTAGGTAAATCATATAGATACAATTAAGGAAAACACATGATGCCCCTTCTTTTTCTCTAATGATACTTTTTAGAGTTGTTTTAGGTTCATCACAAACTGAGCAGAAAATACAGTTCCTATATACCTCCTGTCCCCACAAAAGAATGGCCTCCCCCACTATCAGTATCCCACACCAGAGTGGTACATTTGTTACAACGGATGAACCTACACTGATACATTATCACCCCAAGCCTTAGTTTACATTACTGTTCACTCTTGGTGCTGTACCTTCTGTTGGTTTTCAGAAATGTGTAATGACAGGTATCCACCGTTCCAGCATTAAGAGTATTTTCACTGCTCTAAAAATCCGCTGTGCTCTGCCTATTCATCCCTGCCCGATTGTTTTACTGCCTTCATAGTTTCACCTTTTCCAGAATGTCGTATAGTTGGGATCACACAGTATGGACTTTTCAGATTGGCTTCTTTTACTTAGGCATTTAAGGCACCTCCATGTGTTTTCACGGGCTTGATAGCTCATTTCTTTTTACCACTGAATAATATTCTAGTGTTTGGATATACCATGGTTTATTTATTCATCACCCCTGGAAGGACATTTTGGTTGGTTCCAAGTTTTGGCAATTATGAATAAAGTTGCTACGTTCACGTGCAGGTTTTTGTGTGGACGTATGTATTCCAGCTCATTTGGATAAATAGCAAGAAGCATGACTGCTGGATCACATGGTAAGAGTGGGTTTAATTTTGTAAAAAACTTCCCAACTATCTTCCAAAGTGGCTGTACCAGTTTGCATTCCTACCAGCAGTGAATTTAGAGTTCCTGGTGCTCTATATCCATAACAGCATTTGGCGGTCTCGGTATTTTGGATTTTCCCCAATCTGATGGCACATAGGGTATCTCATTTTTTTTTTTATCATGCATTTCCCTGATGACATATGATGTTGAGCGTATTTTCATATGCTTGTTTTCTATCTGTATCTTCTTTGGTAAGGTGGCTGTTCAGATCTTTTGCCCATTTTTTAATGGAGTTGGTCATTTTCTTATTGTTGATTTTTAAAATATTTTATATATTGTGAATAAGTCCTTTATCACATGTGTTTTGCAAATATTTTCTTCCAGCTTGTGGCTTGTCTTCTCATTTTCTTGACAGTGTTTTTCACAAAGCAGAAATTTTTAATTTTAATCCAGTTCGCTTATCAGTTACTTCTTTCATGGATCTTACCTTTGATATTATAAAGTCATTGTCAAACTCAAGGTCACCTAGATTTTTTTTCCCCTGTGTTTTAGGAGTTTGATATGTTTAGATCTGTTGTGTGCTTTTGAGTTAATTTTTTAGGAGTATAACGCCTGTGTCTAGACTCAGTTTTGTTTTATATATGGATTTCCAGTTGTTACCTGCCCCCTCATTGTTGAAAATATTTTTATTGTATTATTTTTGCCCCTTGGTCAAGTATCAGTTGACGGTATTTGTGTGTTCTTCTGCGCTCCCTATTGTGTTTCATTGATCTAGTTGTCTGTTTCACCAATAGATTATATCCTTTAATTCTTCATCCTTCTAAAGGTCTCAAAAGCAACCTTCATCTCTTTTTCCCAGAGGCCTCACCATTTGGTGGACTTCGGTTGTTATGGGAAACACTGGAGAAAAGCTAAAGCAAGAGCTCTATCCTGCTATTAGATTTTATTTATTTATTTGAGAGTGAGTGAGCAGGGGGGAGGGGCAGGGGGAAAGTGAGTCCCAAGTGGACTCCAAGCTAAGCACAGAGCCCAAGGCATGGCTTGATCTCATGACCTGAGCTGAAACCAGGAGTCAGTTGCTTAACTGAGCCATCAGGCACCCCTCCTGCTATTTTTAAGAGGACTTGTAATCTGACAACTCTCAGACTCTGAGCATCATGGTGACTCCAAATAAATAGAAACATTTATGCTTAAAATATATACTCAGGTATCTAGAGTGTGTACATTTGCTCCCAAGAAATAGAAAAACAATTCAGGTCTCTTCATCAGATTTAGCTGATTGATGCCTAAGGACTGCAAAACCCTACAAGCTTCCACAATATTGGGGCTTCCTAGAATAAATTATGTAGCTTCATTATTGGTTTTCCTATAAATAGGATGTGCTTTGTTTTTGAAAAGTTTCAAAGAATTAGGACATATCTTAAGGTACACTGAGATCTAGAGATATAAAGGAACAAATTATTTTTGAAGAGAAATCATTCAGTCTACATCTTAAATACAAGCATTTGATTTAGAAAAAATTGTCATTGGCATCCTTGTTATCATCACTGCCACCATCACCATCATCAAATGCTGTGCACTAAGGCCAAAAGAATGTTGAACCAGGTGCTCCTGAAGCCACATGGTTCAGAGGTCAAGGGCCAAGGCTCTGGTCTCAGCCTGCTGGGGCCCCAGCCAGGCTCCCCTATATGCTGGGTGATGCACAAACTGATTGATGGCCCTGACTCCTTCCTAGGACTGTAGAGAGGCAAAAATGTATTTTAATGAGTGTCGTTTTCACACTTGAGTCACTGCTGTTAATTACTTATATCTGGGCCAGTAAAGGCAAACTGCAGCTAAGTAGGCAGAAGTACAACGGCTCAGAGGATTTGGGATATATCTGTGAACCGCTCTCCACAGCCACCTGAGCCCATGTTTTCCCATCTGTTGTCTTACAAGTGTGTCTTTCATAGTCTTTTGGATGGATGGATCTCCCGTAGAAATATAATCCAGTAAAGAACAGTGAACTGTTAACACAGAGGAAGCAGTATAAAAAACAAAAACAGGGCGCCTGGGTGGCTCAGTCGTTAAGCGTCTGCCTTCAGCTCAGGTCCTGGTCCCAGGGTCCTGGGATCGAGCCCCGCGTCAGGCTCCCTGCTCTGCGGGAAGCCTGCTTCTCCCTCTCCCACTCCCCCTGCTTGTGTTCCCTCTCTCGCTGTCTCTCTGTCAAATAAATAAATAAAATCTTTAAAAATAAATAAAAAATAACAAAAACACAAAAGTTACCTTATATTCTCTACTAAAAGTGCTGATAATCCCATGATACAATCTTGGGCACCATTTAAAACATAAAATAGCCATAGTGCAATAGTGAGGAAGACTTGACAGTAGCCTAACATCAGCACCAAACTTAGGGGACCCTAACTCACACCAATCACAGTCCTCAGAGGCTGAGAATCCCCTGGAGAACGTGGAAGTGAGAAAGACACCCGAGCAG